AACCTCCAGACTATACCAGCCATCTTAATGTGAAAAACAAACGCGTATTAACCAAATGGTAATATTTATTTGTTGAATAGTACATGTGGGAGACCAATTAAGTTGTTTTTTGCTCTTGTCATTTAACTGTTTGGGTGTATTCCAAGAAGTGCTAAGCCTTGATCAAATCGAGACAGGAATGTTGTTAAAAAGTACCAGAATATCTCACATATTGTATCCCAGTTGTACTGTTAACCTAATCAAAAACTTCAGAGTTGTCAAAAGTCTAAAGTTGACTTGTGTTTCTTTTTGTTTTGCTGTTTTTAGAATTTTGACACAAAGTTACTCAAAGGGCTATCTGCGCCTAGCTGACCATAATTTTAAGCTGATAGACTAGAGGGAACTCAACTCTTGGGATACTCTAATCGAATAATGAGATCTAACAGTCACTCTTATAATGCTCTTACGGTTCTAAAGAATAGAGTACAATTTTGCGGCAACGGGACGCGAACCTGGGGTACTCAGATTCACAATTAGACATGCTAGCCACGCCCGACCCATTTATGCATTTATCCGTTCTTACTGTCACACTTTTTTTAGTAGCAGCGATGAGAATATGATCAGACAGCCATTTGTTTCCGGAAACCATTGTTTTTTCTCTTGAGTAAAACTTCTGATGATCATATGTTAAACATGAGGAGTTAGAAAATGATGTTAATGCACAATTCACTTCTTTTACTCTCCTTTTTTTTAACCCTGAATTGAAGAGATCTAGACGTTTTCTTTATTATGTTAAACTTCGCTAACCCCGTGTTTATGAGGTTATTGAGCAAATAATGTCATCCAGTTTTGCTCAACGATATTCAATGTATTTGTAATATACACACACTTTAATTTATTTATTTATACGAGTAATGTGGTGTCGTTTGATTTTAAGTAATGTATTCTTATTAGTCTTAGTTTACTACAAAGGTTGTTGAGTGAGGATTTAAAGTTTGCTATTAAACAAAAAACAATATTTATCCTAACCAGCAAGTCTACTTCTTTTCGGTTTCGATAATTGTCCCCATGCCACTGGAATCGTGTTATTTCTAGCTTCGTTAGAACTTTAAATGTCTAAATACTGGAAGCATATACGTGTAAATGTATAGGAACGCCCATGGCAAATCTCCAGAATAACGACAAGTAACACAGAACAATTTTATATATAATTAAATTGTACGTGAATTGAAATTGTAATGGGCGCCTTGAATATTTGTAATGTATTATTGTGGGTTTGTTATGGCTTACGCTGTTTATGTATGGTAAGCAGTCAGTAACTACACTTTATTTTGGGAATTAAACTAAATAGTAAGCTGGTGAAAGTTGACATGACTGGGAAAGTTAAAGATACCATGGCATACAAGTTTACAGAACTAGTTAATATTAGCAGTGAAGACAAAATGTTTGAGAAAAAGAAAGACAAGGTGCTGGATAATGAGTGGTAGCTCTACCGCAAACGTTAGGAATATGAATTCAATATGCATTGGTCATAAAAGTAAAGAGGTCTGTCGGATTCTGTTGCATAAAGACAACTGAGAGTAAAGAATGAACAGTTGAGACTGTGAAATACACAATAACTAGAAAATTTTCAACTGAAAAATAAGGCTAAAAATTACATTGAACTACTGATGACCTAATCCTTTTAGCCACGTCTTCAACTGCAAATACGACACTAAAGCAGGAAATTGTTCCACAACATAGACTGGGATACTTAAGTAAAATACTGCCACCTAGGACCACTAACACTGAAATAAAAAATTATTTGACTACATTTGGGGACCTTAGAAGGAATCCCTCAGGAAGAAAAGACGAACGTTCTGGTCTCAGTATTGAGAGGTTTGGCATTAGTGATGTATTCTACCCTAAGTGTAGAAGAATGTTAGAGCTAAAATACTAGTAACTGTATTCTAAAAAAAGTTAACATCAGGATCTTCTAACAAAAGAGAACTCGAGACACATTTACCGAGTGTGGTATAAGGCAACAACAATATGCTGATTACTGGATGACAGAAGAAAGGACTAGAGAGCTTTAAAAGAGTTGATATTTTCATAACAAAAACCACCAGCATTTGAAAGAAAAATTGATTAATACATATATCGAATATATTGTTCAAAATATTAGGGAAAATATCAGTTACTAAATATAGAGGGCTGTAAAATTCAGTAGGGAACAGTTTGGTTCAGTTAGAAATGGTTGCCAATTAAAGTGGATAAATTTCCAAAGGCGAACATTTAAGTGTTACTTAATAGAACAAGATAAAGGGGACTCGAACTTTTCAACTTTGGGGGTGGAGGACGAATGTGTCAAACTTAACGTATTCTGAAACTAATGTGATCATGTCATAATCATATCACAGAATCCTAAAACTATTTTTCCTGGCTATTGTATTAGTTTATGAAAGTCAATGAGGTTCGTATATGGGGCTCAAACGTACTGCACTAACACAATAATGCTCGTTTTTTTTTGTCCTAAAAAGTCAGCACAGATATCAGTATGTCAGAATTACCATTTATATTCAATGTGTGGTATAGGAAGCAACCAGCAAAGGACAGATAACTGGTGAATCATTATGAATTAAAGTGAACAATACGTCTGTGCAATATGCTGTTATGATTATTAAAGCAATCGTTACCTCCCCCCCCCCCAGTGGCACAGCGGTATGTCTGCGGACTTACAACGCTTGAAACCGGGTTTCGATACCCGTGGTGGGCAGAGCACAGATAGCCCATTGTGTAGCTTTGTGCTTAACTTCAAACAAAACCTTATTTGCAGTGCAGTAGGCCAATCAAATGTTATTGTTTGTTTATTCTAATCAGTATTTCTGTAATCTTGATCAATCCGGAATATAATTGGTGACAAAAAACGCCCTTAGTCCTAGAAAAGAACGCCTTACAACAGGTCGCACCCCCGTATGGAATGACGACCTAATTGGATACTAATGAAAGTTCTGAAGCTAATTAGTGAACGTCGGACCTTCTCTAGGATAGTGTGGAGACCAATGATAAGTAGGTTTGACGTGAAAGATAGTGTTGGCTGTGAGTGAAGTAGAGAAGAAAAAAAAACAGGATCGTGAGTGGCGTAAGTACTTCCAGTCTCTAACGACTAAAGTCCCTCGGCGAAACAGCAGTAAGTTAATGCTCAAATACGGGGTTCGATTCCCCGCGGTGGACACGGCAAATAACTAAATGTGGTTTTGATCTAATACAAACAAACTAACTAATGATCAACTTTAAATCTTCACACCAAATAATCAATACCCATAACCCAGAGGAGAAAAATAAACGAAAGGAAAGCTACATCTATTCATAAGTTTTCTAGTTCGCAACTTAAAGATGTACTTTAAACAGGCATACTCCGTATGTTTTAATATACGTATTTCAATGGTAACTTTTGTTAAGTATGCTCTATCTCTCACCCATGTGATATGTGTCCGGCATGGCCAGGTGGTTAGGGTGCTTAACTCGAAATCTGAGGGTTGCGGGTTCGAATCCCCCTCCCACCAAAGATTTTCGCACTATAATGGGATGGTCAATCCCTCTATTTGTTGGTAAAAAAGTAGCCCAAGAGTTGGCGGTGGGTGGTGATGACTAGCTGCCTTCCCTCTAGTCTTACATTGCTAGAAAAGATAGCCATCGTGTAGCTTTGCGAGAAATTTAAAAAAAAAACACACCCCCTGTAACAAATATTTCTCATAGGCCTCCTACATAATGCGAGGGGAAATATTAATCCTTTTAACAATACCATAAAGCGTTGTTTCGATAGAGTGACGTTGTAGTTTTATTACAAGTCAACCAAAAAGCATCTTATTATTAATATATATATATACATTTTCCCCTCAGGCATAACCGAAACATTCAGACATAAAAAATAAGATGTATCTTAACAGATTAATAATAAAATATAGATAAATGTTCAGTATGTAATACATTGGAGTTCAAAAACAGTGTTTATAATTTGTTCTTTTTCTACGAAAAAATATACGAAGACTGTTTCAAAAATTTAAATATTCATGCATGCGACGAAGATGTTTTCCGTACGTTTTATGGAACATATGAAGCAGATTAAGCCGGCAGATACGTGGTTAGTATATAATAGTTATATTGTTCGTGTAATATTATCTTTTGTATTACACATAAAATCAGCATTCTTCAGGTTTTATTAAACTCCTAGTATGATGGTTCTTCCGTTGTCCCTTAATAACCTTTTGGTATCCGGCGTTATAACACTACTAGTAACAGCAGTTACAGTATAGAGCTGGTATATTTCTTGTATTTGACATCTCAGAAATTAAAATGGTGCGTTTGAAAGTTTTATTGATCCCTTGTTTCAAAGCAGCTTTAGTAACGCTTCACGTGCTGTGGTTCCAATTTATTTCGTAGATGAGTTTCAGTTTTGTTTCGACTAGTTTTATGTCTTTATCACAGTTTGGAATGCTTGATTTTTATTGTTCTCCAAAGATCACACGTGCAGCTATACCTTCACATAATCACACTGCCGGCCGCTCCTCGGCAAATTCACGCGATACCATTACACGATTCTGCTAAAACCGAAACCAAAAACCTTTAGATGAATAAAAACGACGAAAATACCTCTCCAATAACGTGAAAACAACCTAGACCTCGCCATATTTCAACCGAACTGATTTGTACAAAAGAAAAAGAAAGAAAATGGTCGTAGTTGCCATAATGTCCGCAAGAGCACAATCAGTAAATTAAAAAAAAATATATATTTTCTATGGAATAATTGAAGTGCCTTTTCATTTAAGAAATTTATGTCTTGAATTAAAAGGCAAACAAACTAGAACAGAATTGTAAACTACTATAAAGTAACGAGCAGCAAGAAGATATATATTTAAAAGTGGATGCAGAGATACCACATTGTGATAATATATAAAAACCATTTTTTTCTTATAACTGATTATTGTTGTATGCGGAACATAAAGATATTTACTGATATCTAGAACTGTTGATAAGGAAACGGTTGTCTTTTTTCCAAACAAATTTGATAGGTTGATTCCCAGTCGCTGAACACGAAAGCTCCACTGATTGGCCCTTTTGTGCTGACTGAGATTTATATTTGGTGTCGAACTTCGGAGGCACTGTAGACAAGGGGAAAAAAATAAAAAGTTTTATATTACGATAATTATGACATTTAGAAGTAAAACTAATTTATAAATATTAATGTTAACTATTCAGAGCACGTACATTAGCTAAGCCTTTTTAAAACACACGAGAACTGAAACATCACAATACCGAATTTATTCTTTATTTTATTTTAGTTTAACTTCTCTCTCATAGGCGTACGGGGAATTTTTCAGAGGGGGGGGGGCGGCTGTAAATTTTTTGCCCGAATGAGGTTATGAGTAATAAAGCTAAAGTTTAGGAAACAGGTGTCCGATACAGGGGATATATATTTTAAGTGATTAATTTAGCCCAAATATAAATTGAAAACTTGCTCGAATTGTCGGAACTTCTGCTACCAGTCTTTCTCGAATGAGGGTAAAAAATGTCCTAATCATTATGCTTTAGGCCCGGCATGGCCAGGTGATTATGGCGCTCGACTCGCAGACTGCGGGTTCGAATCCCAGTCCCACCAAACATGCTCGCTCTTTCAGCCGTGGGGGGCGTTATAATGTGACGGTCAATCCCACTATTCGTTGGTAAAAGAGTAGCCCAAGAGTTGGCGGTGGGTGGTGATGACTAGCTGCCTTCCCTCTAGTCTTACACTGCTAAATTAAGGACGGCTAGCACAGATAGCCCTCGTGTAGCTTTGCACGGAATTCTAAACAAACAAACAAACAAATTAACCTTTCTAACTCATATTTGTTTAGTCCTACCAAAACGGAATACATCAGTTGAACAAACTTGTTGAATTCTATTGATTTTCTGCGGTTTGTACGTGCTGTCGAGGAATACCTTTTTTTTATCCGTCTACATCAGTAAGAATCGCATTAAATTTATAACTCTAATATTAAAACTATCCACTCGAATCAGCTGCTTGTCACGTTTGTCTCCTGTGATTGGCCAAATTAAAAAATGCACGTTACGTTCGTTCATTCGACCAATTAGAGCAATAAAGACGATTGCACGGCAAATAAAAAGAGAGTAAAATATTCAGATTTTTATGTTTCAGGAATTAGTTGTTCCTTTTCTTCTGTTTCGCCGTTATTTTTTAAATCTAGATTACGGAGTTTGATACTCTTCTTTCCCTGTTTCTTTTCGCAGCATAATTAATACGTCCCGTATTGATTTATGGCCTAATTAATACGTTCCGTATTGATTTCTGGCCTGATATTGATCTGTGGCTCAATAGTTTTTTTTTCCATAATTGTCTCATGTTCAGAGCTTGGCATATTTAAACTGCTATTATTCTGTGGTTCCTTTCAAATTATTTTTCACTCGGACTCCAAGAAGTGATTATGTTTCAAAAAGAAACTTGTGTTACCCGTATTTAGGGATTTATGGCTTTTTAATTGAACAGCTTGCAGTTACGTCACTTTTCTTATTTCTTTGTTGTTGACCGTAAAGCTGCATAATGAAATATCTGCTCTGTCACATTTCCAGGTACCAAACCCCGATTTTTAGCGTTATAAGCCCCCCCCCCCCAGTTTACCGCCAAGCCACCGGGGAGATACAAGTTATGTTTTGCCGTGAATCTCAATTTTACCCAAAGTGATACTATTGAAAAGACTGTATGTCCCAATGTTAATTTGAAAGGATGACACCTTAACGTGAAATATCCATCATTATTTGCTTTCTCAGCTTAGTGTTAAATCACGCAATTTTCATTGTAGCCCAAAGAAGAAGAATTCGAGAAGAAAATTAAATCTGGAAAGATGGATGTCTTTAAAGGTAGAAAACACCCCCCCTCTCCCACACACACACACACACAGAGACCGTATGTAGATATGGTGAGGCATGAATGATGATACGCTACATTAAAGAATGTGTGCAGTTCACCCATAATGAATCTAGTAAGCTAATAGCCTGAGTAGGTGCTGTTTCCACCAACATTTTACCATAAAGATTTCTATACGCTAATGGCCCAGATTGGTGCTGTTTTTAGCAACATTTTACCATAAAGATCTCTAGACGTTAATGGCCCAGTTTATGGCTGTTTCCACCTACATTTTTACCATAAAGATTTCTCTATACGTTAATGGCCCAGATTGGTGCTGTTTCCACCAACATTTTTATCATAAAGGTCTTTATACGTGAATGTCCCAGTTTGGTGCTGTTTCCAGAAACATTTTTATCATAAAGATCTCTATACCTTAATGGCTCAAATTGGTGCTGTTTCCACCAACACTTTACCACAAAGATTTCTATACGTTAAGGGCCTACACTGGTGCTGTTTCCACCAACATTTTTACACCAAGAAAGGGCTTCCTCAGCCCTTTACGTTTAACAGTGGTGCTTGCTTACGTCTTTCTTGTATGAGGAAGAATACGAAAGACTTGCACAGAATATGGTGTCACTTCTACCACAATCAGATGAACTGCAGAAGAGAGTTGAGCAAGAGAAGCAGCCCTCACAGCTTTCTATACAATTACGAACGACTTCTACTGCATTACCTGGTTTTCCTATGACAAGCCTTACCAGGTCAAATAGCAGTGAACACTTCTCAAACGATGACAGTTACGTCTTCTTCAGAAACAGGTCTTCTTCCCTCAGAAGCAAAAATCTGATAAGGACAAAACACTAATCAGACATGTGACATCAAAGATCTACTCCTCACAGATTTCTTAAAATACGACACCTGGTGGCTGGTATTACCAGTTTCGCATATTAGAAGCAAGGACAGTGGGTTAATATACTCGTGCGTGATCTATTTTGTATTACGTAGGGTTCCATTGTAATCACGACGCCACAACAGCAGCATGCACTCGTTGCAGCTGATAAGGACTGACGTTTTGCTGACAGGAGTCATACACATGAATAAGGACTGAAGTTTTGCTGACAGGAGTCATACACGTGAATAAGGTCTGACGTTTTGCTGACAGGAGTCATACACATGAAGAAGGACTGACGTTTTGTGACAGGAGTCATACACATGAATAAGGACTGACGTTTTGCTGATAGGAATCATACACATGAATAAGGACTGACGTTTTGCTGAT